AAGGATATTCTATCCTGCAATTATAACTACAACATATCATCGATGACAGTATATGACTTACAATATAGATATTTATGGATGTTTGGAATGAAGTATAAAGGAATTGACCTAAGTAGGCGGATATAAGAGTTGGACATGACATGACAACAATGGTCATTCTGTGTACCAGAGAGGGTAGGGACGAGGTTCGGACCAGACCAGAGCCATGCTAGGCACGCCCGCGCGGTGACCTGGATGGACGTGTGCCGGACTCAGGGTACGCTGGTGACGCCGTCTCGCGTGTATCTGAACGGCGCCTGGACAGACATAGAGCTCTACAGTCTACAGGTTAGCTTCATCTTCTTCTTTATTCGCATACCAACATGTACATGTCAGATAGGCACATAAAGCTCGAATAGCGTATTTTACTCTTCCTGGGGGGATAATTGTGTGATCTTGTGTGCTTCTGCTGAGTGTACGCCTGATCTTGAGGGGGAAAAGGTCGTCTGCACGTCCTAAATTAAAACATTTGTGTCTTCCAAGTAGCACATGTACTGCGTGAAGAAACCTTGTATTCCTCCTTCACGGCTGCGTGCAGGTACGGAGAAGTGTGTTCCAGCGGTTCTACGCCGTGAAGTGTGTGGAGAGCACTCCCACGGCCAACTGCCAGGGGGAGTGTCGGGACAAGCGCTCGCAGTTTCCCGCGCTGGAAATATACAAAGACGGCAACGACGACTTACAAGTAAGAAAAACACTAGTTCTTTGGAATGGACATCAAGTCGGAGGTTCACCTCACACACTTATCAAAAGCTACTACACTTTAATATCTCGATAATAGGGAGGTTTGGCCTGTCTGCCTCTCACTCTCTCTATCTGTACATATATAAACTTACTCTATAATGTTCTCTATACTGTTACGCTATATTCTTACTTCACTATACTGTTTACTATTACGCTATACTGTACCGTACTGTCTGATGTTATCTTAAGCTTGTTAGTTCGGTACAAAACGGGTGCGTCGCGGTTTGAGGACGTTTACTAACTTACTTCCCGACCATCTGCGAGTGTATTACTAAATTTCTCTACCTCCTACAGGTTCGTCCCCGACTGGTGGACGTGACGACATGCTGCCAACTGCTGATCTCAGCGTAAAACACTTCCTCGGAAACCCGCTCGTCCATACATCAAACAAATAAAATGTAACTCATTTTGTATGATAGTAACATTCATCAGAGCGCAAGAAAAAACCATAGCCAAATCTGTGATTGTGGGTGTTTCATTAAGTTTTATAGTACATTACACGTATATATACATGTACCTGCCTAACAGTTCGAATACGGTTTCACTACATATGCGATGAAGTACCCTTCTATATAGCTGTAACGTTACTGTGTCTTCATTGTGAGATGATGTTCGTCCAGTTGAGGAATTCAAATTCATTGTTTCTGTGGATAAAGTTTATCATCAAATTGTGTGACATGGTAAAAATTGTCTAAGTATAGGTGTCTACAGAAATCTTTTATATTCTCGGTACATTCCATTGGGTATTTACAATGAGTGTGTAGTGAAGCATGTTCAGGACACGTTCTAATTATAAGGCATTTCATATCGGCCATATCGGTTAGGACCATGCTGCAGTTTGGCATTTACTCGACAGGCGTCGCTACAACAGTCTATATTGTCTGACGTCACTAGGAAGACATCCAAATGCAGTAATCTGATATATTCTTGTCTATTCTGTTCTTACATAGATGTTAAGTTGTAATAGAAGTATACACACCTTTATACATATACACTAGTTCTTACACTGCACTGTTCATAACTATATATGTACATTTGAATGTAGGGCACAACAGGAACATTTCCAAAACATCCCAATGTCTCGTACAGTGCATGCAAAAATGAGCATTAAATCACAGATGTAACATCACAGAATAATTATAGAACTTGAAACAATGGCTGTCATTTATGTGTTATGTGTCACTTTGTATGAGTTTTGAAAACTAACTATACTGTATAAGTTGCCTGTGCCAAATACTAGTTCTGTTTTTGTTAAATAAAGAAAGATAACCAAGTAGATGCTTCTTTGATAAATTAATACAAGTGTAAAACATTCTGTCGTGCACATAAAAAAAGAACAGGAAAAGCTGTTCCTGTGCACATACTGGACGATTACATTAATGACACACTTTCTTTTGTGCTTGTAAACATGTAACTTTTATATAAATGTGTGTGTATGTGTGCGTAAGTAAGGTTAGTTTTCCATTTACAAATCCAAATTTCAACTTGATCTAAATTGACATAAATTGAAGTTGAAAAATTTCATGTGGATGTCTTTAGATTTCTAGACTCCGATTAGACCAGATTGGAGTCTCTGCTCTGACATATATATACAATACATGTGTTGTAGAATCCTGTGTCATGTGTTACAAAAATATTCAAAGAAAGATTTAAAAACATAACTAAATAAAGCTAACAACCATGGCTTCTTTTTTGTGTAATACTTTTCTTACCTTTAGGCTTTGCTTTATCTAGATATTTTCTAATATGTTAGACTAATGTCTTACTGTTATACTCATGTGTAATGCTAATATACTAATGTAAATAATTTGGTTGGTGAATGATTGAATGGTTCTGTTATTCATAACCATTTGTTTTCCATGACAAAATGGTTGTGAAAGAAGGAACTTAACTTCATAATGATTAGAACATTGTGGAAGCCAATGTACACTGACAACCATACAGTCTACTTCTTACGACTTGGGGGGGTCTCGATCTGGTCCATGCTCTGTGTAGGGGGGAGGCCCCTCTTCCTTCTTGTCCCCATCGGGGGAGGGTGCAGGGTACAAGTAGGAGTAGGGAGGGGGTGCAGGTCCGCCGGGGGGTCCTGCCATGTAGGGGGGTGGGGGGAGCGGAGGGTAGGCGGCTGCAGGCTGGAGAGGCTGTGCCACGCCGCTGGGCTGCCTGGGAGCGGCAGTACGTGTCCGCTGGTACTGTGTGATGGGTCTGGTGGCGGGGCCGGCCTCCACGATGACGATGCCGGGCTGCCTGGCGCCCTGCGGGGGCTGGCGACGGTCCGCCTGCTGCTGCTGTACCACCTGCTGCTGTATGTCCTGCAGCCTGCCCCGCCCCGCACGCAGCTCCTGGTACTGGGAGATCACACACAGCACACAGTACACCTGGGGAAATAAGGGAATGCAGGTATATGTCAGGGTATAGAGACGCCAATCTTCTACCACTCGACCAGTAGAGATCGTAATTTAGTGTCTGTCAACAGAGACTCCTATCAGAGTCTCTGTCAGTAGAGATCCTGATTGGAGTCTCTACTGGTACAATCTGCAATCCATTTTTTAGTATCATACAGGTACTGCATTAGAAGATACATGTATTTAGGTTTTATTGCAAGCACAGACTATTCAAATGATATCAGTATCTACCAGAAATGTTCAACTTTTAATTTATGTTGGGTAACGTTAAGACAAGTTATAGTGATAGACCTCATCCTGTCTCTCGCAGATGGTTGAATTGGCAATTATACCAGATTGGAGTGTCCACCCTGACATATATACAATGATGTGATGGAATGAATGATCAACATGTTGAGTGAATGAAAGAAGAAATGAATCATGAAATGCTAAGAAAAGAATGAAAAATAAACAAAAATCCACATCCACTTGAAGATGTCTGGTCACATAGACTAGTCAGAAATACCTGCAGAGCTTTAATTTTACCTGCACTAACCAGCATACTACTACCACTACCAGCATACTACTATATAGGTGGTATTTGAAGCCATGCTTCTTGTTTTATGTAAAGACTAGGCTGACCACAAGGCACAAAGAACACGAGGACTACTCACGTTTAACAAGCTCCGCAAGATGTAGAACACGATGGTGAAGATGTTGAAGGCACTCATACCCTATAGGGAGAGGGAGATGTAGTGTACAAAACAGTGCAAAACTTAAACATTCTGGAAAACTGTCATGTTACCATCATAGTATAACATTTAAAGAAATTTGCCTCAGTGTGTCATATTTCTGGCATCAACAAACAAAACAACAATGACCTACATGCAGGCTATAATTTAGTATAAAATTTATCCGCTGGTCTATCTAAGTTACAATATTTGTATGCATCATGTTTCCCCCCTCGCCAACACACACATACAGTGTTTTACTACATCTACTAGTAAATCATGAGTACAGTCCATTCGAGACTCGAATATCATTGTCTCAGGCACTATGATGTATTGCACATGAGGAATCCTCCTTACAGCGTAGACCAGGACATAGATGACAGTCGCCAGCTCGAACCACATGAACAGGATGAAGCCGCCAATCCATGGCAGCAGCATGAGTGGTTTATCCTGCAGTAGGATGGGTGAGAAATGAACAATGCAAGTTAAACCTGTACTGGTCCATGTACTGGGTATATGCAGGTTAGTGCAGGTAAAATTGGAGCTGTATAGGTATTTGTGATGTCTACCTGCACCTAACCTGCATTGGTCCATGTACTGGGTATATGCAGGTTAGTGCAGGTAAAATTGGAGCTGTATAGGTATTTGTGATGTCTACCTGCACCTAACCTACATTGGTCCATGAACTGGATATATGCAGGTTAGTGCAGGTAAAACTGGAGTAGTGCAGGTATTTCTGATGTCTACCTGCACCTAACCTGCACTGATCCATGTACTGGGTATATGTAGGTACAATTGCTATAGTACCTGCTATAGTAGGTACACCAACTATAATCTGCACTGGTACTTTCCAAAGAACATTCCAAAGACGTCGACCTAAAACCCTTACAGTAAGTTATGACCTAGTTTACAGTTACGCATTGCCAGCTTGCTTTAAATTACTGTTAAGCATTGTCAACCCTCCTAAATTTACCACTAAGCACTTCCAGGACACCCCCATGCAGACCTTCTACTTCAAATACAATGTAGGTATAATAGAATGTAACTTAAGTTTGTAAATGCACTTAAGTAAATGTCTGACCTTGTTGACTCCTACAACCAGTATGACAGACAAGATGGACACCAGCAGGTACACTGAAATCTGTAGGAAGAACACAATCTGCAGTCCTGTAAAGAGGAAGGGGGCACAGACAGATCAACCACATATATTGTAAAGCACATTCTTATCTCATAGTACTGCATAGTCTTTGTAAGGATAAGTTTCATAGCAGTTATACTGGCCATACAGATGCAGAAGCTGATGTTTTATGGCAAAGGGAAATATAGTGTGGTGAGACATCAACATGTGTAAATACAGATACAGATTAGTGAATACCAAACCTTTAAATTTTTTCTCCAGATGCTGCACCACAGCTATGTCCCAGGCATCCACAGCCACACAGATAAGGGAGAGGACCTGAACACAAAATTTCCTTTCTTTAATTCTGAAATTTCTTTTGGAAAATGCAGGTATTTCCCAGCACAATAAGATTAGACCTATTTTTGCAACATTTATCATCATCATTAGGGCTGGGTTTAATTTAAACAAGGAGCTTTCATCATGAAAGCTCTTTGGTTTATATAAGGGTTAGGATTAGAATTAGATAGCAGTGCTAATATAAGTATTCACAGGAACATCACGTCAATTGTAAAAATTCTTATTGTCAATAATGAAAATAAAATTTATTGACAAGCACTTCCTGTCAATGGTGAAAAAAATTATTGTCTACCATGAAATATAGTTGTCCTTTTTGGTAGTAACATGTCCTTGTCTTGTTGAAAAATATGACTCGCTATAATACACAACTATATATGTACATTCGTGTACCGCTGGCACGTCAACAGAAAATCATTACACAACACTGATCGTAACTGTTGCCATGCCGACTAATGGTTGTGACGGATCTATGCAGTAATATGGTAATTCCTTGCAAATAACATGGTGGCGCATTTCAAATTCTTCTAGTGGTATGAGGTATACATAAAACAGATTCAGTATCTACACGGATGTACATATGTGTATACTTGTTGAAGCCTTATGGTTTGGTGAAGTCTGCATCGTATATGATGCAGTGCCTTTTTGGAAAGTAACGGTACACAACAGCGCAATAGACATAAACCGAAACCAGTGCAACATACATCATATTCGTTTCGTAATCGTTCCAGACTCACCAGCGTGTAAACCCCGCAGGCCACGGACCCACTGCGAGTGTTGTTCCAGCAGAGACACCGCTGTATGATTGCCATGTTGCGGCGGGACGTACGCACGTAATCACGGCCAAAATTCTCGGCAGGGATGTATTTCCGGGAATTTATTACCCATCAGGCTTTGTAACGGGCGATACCACTGCGCTGCAATGATAGGGTACACCTAATCCAAACTGACCGATCGGGAAGGAGGTCACCAGTCGCATTGTACGAGCACCCATCAGTTACCATAGAAACGATCTGTACAGTGATGGTTATATTTTACGACATGTAGCAGTTTTGTTTTTGTATAAAGAAGCGCCAGCTTTCAACGAGGCAATCTAATAATGGTTTTAGAACAGTTCATATATAGAAAGGTCAGGTTTGAAAGTGACCCGAAGACTTGAAGCATCACGGTCAGGGTGGCAAGAATAGTGCAAGAATTCAGTAAGTGTTATAATATACCGATTAGGTTAACGTTACATCATTCAATCACCTTTAAAAATCCAATATATTAATGAAATCCCCCCCAAAACCTCTCGGAAGTCTGAATTCGAAATCTTCTACTACGTCTTGACGAGTAGTCGTGGTTAAAACGTGGAAATTCCTGACAATTATTTTAAAAATAATATGACACGGACAACAATGGGTATATGAACATGTATTCAAGCAAATTCGCGTAAGGCCTCTGGACAAAAAAAAGCATAATCTTTTAGTGTTAGGGAACATCGAATCTAGCAAATCATCCTCAAATTGATCCTTCCAGTTCTTAAATTCTGCCGCCTGCTAATCCGAATAAATGTTACCAATGGCATTTTCAGGAACTGGTGTATTTCAGTGTTTTTGGTGCCGTGTATGGCGCCATATTGCTCTATGTTTTACTAATATTTATAAAAGCACAAGCAAACGTCAGGAAACTCCATGACATATACGTACATTGAATGTAAGATTGCAGGCGCTACTGCATTATACGTAAACGCATTATATTCTATCACTCTACTACAAAGCGAGGAAAATTCTGAATACAATACTGTACCAGCGAAAAACCTATTATTATACATAGAATGTTCCGTTACATCAGAAAGAATCAAATTGTCTGTACTCTATAGAACTACTTAGTTATCATTAGATGTAAGACTATCTAGCCTAGTACAATATATACGTATTTGACAAGGGCGCACTGACCCTTTTTACGATAAATCGGATAATAAGCAGACTGAACTTCATATAATTCATCTTGACATTTGCATGTTCTCATTACTATTTTTGTGATCCGTCGGCATTCCTCTAAGTCTAAAACTATAATGATAACAATACTACTCGCACTACCACCATAAACTAGCCACCATCTATTGCTAAGATAATACAATATGATGTAGTATATAAAAGTATCTAACTGAAATGATAGATGAAAGTAATACTATGGGA